TCGCTTCTGCCCATGCCTCCCCTCCAACCGCTTCTCCCGCTGCACCGCCAAAAGATTGATGACACGTCGCTCCTTTGCAGAAAGAAAAGAGGAGGCGCAGCACTGCTCGATGATGTCAAGAACAAGATTCCGGCAGCAGTCGACAAAAGAGTCCGACAATTTAGAAAGCCGCCTGGCACATTCGTGAGCGTCAAGTAGAAACGTCAAGACGCTTCTTCGGGAAGAGTTTGTGGAGAATGGCGGGGTTCGAGGAAATTCAGGATGCTCCACCTGCTCCAAGTGACGCCGCAGGACCAGCAGCAGCCGTGGCGGCCAGTCAACTCCCTCCATTCACAAATCTTGGGGTGGTCCGCTCACAAGGGATGACGTAACTTAGGCAGAAAACAAAAACTCACACGCATCCACAAAAAAAAAAGAAATAAAGAGGGAAAAAAAAAAAAGAAAGAAAAAAACAACTGTGAAGTTGGTCACGTATTCCTCAAATAATTTTCAGCAGATGCATGAGCAATACATATGCATAAATACACACAGAGAGAGAGAGAGAAAAAAAAAGAAAAAGAAAATAACTATATATATATATATATATATATGTATTTATGTATATATATGTGTGTATATACCGAGATTTCCTTACGGTTTCTTATGCTCTCGCAAGTATTAATTGCGGGGTTAGACATGCAACAAAAGCCGACTGTAAAGCTCAAATAACGCCTCAAGAAGACAGTCGCACCGCTCCCGATCGGCTTTCAACTTCGACTCCCTCTCCTGCAGGGCAATAAGAGCCGCCTTGCAGCCATCCTCGCCCTCCACGGCCTTGCCATTACGTGCCAACAACTCGGCCTCACGCAGATTCAGTTCGCGTGTTCGCTCCTCGACGGTAACACGCATTGCAGAGAGACGTTCCCGTAAATTCGCAAGATGTTCACTCTCCTGCAGCAGACTTTGACGTTCCTGTTCAAGAGCCGCCTCACGCCGCGCCAAATCTCGTTCACGAGTGGCGATTTCCGCATCTTTCCGTCTCCATTGTGATGCGTGCTTCTCTAACTTTGCGACAAGGTCCTCCCACTCCCCTAACATCGCTGTAGCTTTTTGGACGCCACCACCACTGTAAATGTTGCCGCCGTCTTCTACAGCGCTGCGATTGCGGAGAGAACTGAGCGCATCCTCCACATGTTGTTGCCACCCTTCCTGGGACGGCTGCATCCCAATGGCAACTGCCCGTTCCAGCAAATTTTCCCTCGCCGCCAGCTCGGCCTCTTGACGCCCTAAAATACGTTCCGCCCGCTCAAGGGCCTCAATACGCAAACGGTACGCATCAGTAGTGTACATTTCAGAGCTTGATGGCTCTTCTATTCTCATGCAATTTTATTCCGGCAAAACCGCACAAACGAGCAGTGGAAAGACGGCAAACTTTATTAACACTATAAAAGATGCAAAAAAAAAAAAAAACACAAGAATCTATAATCTAAAATATAATCCCGTCCCCTCTAAACAATTAAATAAATGGATGTTCTCTATCTGATCAATTAAGCCGCGTAATGTGCGTTGATACGGAAATCCAGGTTATGTCCGCTAATTCCAAAGAAAAAAAAAAAAAAGCAATCAAAACAAAAACAAAAGGAATGAGCAGTAATGACATCAACATGCATATAAGAAGTTTCACTGAATTCAAATGGCATCGGAAGTTTGTGTGTGTGTGTGTGTGTTTGTATGCATGCACAAATGATATGCTTTACGTGTACTCTACAGAGAAAACGTAAATCCTCTTCTCCCACATCTTTTTTTTGTTTTTGTTTTTGTTTTTTTGCTTTCCTTTTTTTTCTTGCGTGTGTATTCAACTTCCTTTTTTGTTTGTTTGTTTGATTTGTGTTTTTGTTTTTCTTTTGTTTTGTTTTGTTTTTGTTTTTGTTGTTTTTGTTGATGATGATGATTTTGTTGTTGTTGTTTCTCTTCCTTCATCAGCAGATGATGCCATTCACACCGCTGGAGACTCACGCGGCTGCACGACAAGCCACAATGTCACATGGAACGTGAGTAGCCGCGATAAGATAGTAACCCTGGTGTTCCGTGGAGAAGAGAAGGGCGTAATCGTATGCGTAGTTCTGCAAAGGATTCTCTTTCCCGTGCGGAGCTTTTGCCTTGGGTTGTGAACGCAAGTTGAGCCACTGGATGGCTTCGTTAAGGTTGTCCTTTCCAATGCCAACAACCGAGGTGATGTTGAACTTCATCTCACGCGGGGTCACTTGATAAATGACGGTACACCATGATGCATCCCAGATGCGACTCCGCAACTCCTCCTCACGCTTAACAACGCGCGAGGTGGAAGGAAGTGAGGGGGTATCCTCACCATTGCTTTCATTTTTTGTATGGTTTGACATGGCAACAACGCGTTTCAGCCAAGGCGACTTCTCCGTGGCCACTTCTTGAGAAGCACTATGAACATTTGCCCCGGTGTTGGGGCTGCAATGAATGCTCCCAGCATGTGAAAACATCTGCGACAACAGCGCCGCGCTGTTCTTGTATTCTCGGGCGTAGCGACGAAGCATGACGCGTTTATCTCCTGGACCAACATTGTCGCTTGCAAGAATGACATTGTGCGCCACGCAATATTCTGCGGGCCAGTAAATCGACCTGTTGTTCAGCGCCTCTACCACCTCCGGCACAGACGCAAAGTGCGCAGAAACATCAAATGCGAGTTCATGACTGTTTAACTTCTCATTGTTCTTCAAAGTATATGAGTGCGAGGTCCGCCACCGTGGCACGGCCTGCTGCTGTTGTTGTTGTTGTTGCTGCTGCTGCAAAAGCCGTTCAATGATGACGCTCCCCCCGCCCTTTGCTGCCGTCGTGATGCCTTTCCCCGCCGCCTCCGCGCTAAGAATGGCGGGGTCTGTCATGATTGCTGGCGTGGCCGTCGACGCCGGCGAGCCACGCGAGTTCGCACTTTTCGCGCTGCGTGGCTGCGGGATGGTAATCGCCGCCGCACCGCGACATGAGAGTGTGACGGTGGTGATGCCTGCCGATGCCTTTGCTCCTGCCGCCGCCGATAACAGCGCCTCGTGAGTGAGATGCGTCGCGGCAAATTTCGAAGACTTCACCCACACGGACCACTCCTGCTGCCCGACGCCCCCGTGGCCGCCGCTGTTTTTCTCCACCGACTCCTCCGCGGCATCGCTGAAGCCCTTCGCGGTGCACACGGCATGCAGTTCCGCACTCGTCTCCAAACTCAACGCACCCGTCTGCGACAAAAACAGGTTTGAGACGAGCAGGACAAGATCTGCGTTCACAAGCTGCGGGAAAAGGTGCGTGAGAACTGCCACGCGTTGCCAGAGCATGGCGGCAGGGTCAATGTAGACCGCGGAGACCGTCATTGAGGCACCCGCAAACGAGCGTACCTGCAGCATCATGAAGAAGCGGACACACCCACCGCCGCCCAGGCTGCTGTCCAGCAATTTGACAGCGCTATCGGCGCTCTCGCAGACCACGCCGACGCGCACGAGCGCAAGGCTGCCCTTCTCGGCCCCCTCCCGCGGCTCATAGCGAACGAGTTCCGTAATACCGTACATCTTGCGCACATAAGATGACTGCATCATCTGCTGCCGCGCCACCAGCGTGGCGTTGTGGACAAAAACAAACGACGGCGACGAGGCGGCGAGGGCGTTGTTGAAACTCTCCATCTCTCCAACCGACGAGATCCCCCCGCTGAGGTCAATAGTGCTCACTGAGAAGGCCTTTGCCAATGATGCAGGCGCCGTCCCCCCTGTTGATGTTCCTGTCGCCTCTGCCGCAGATGAGGGGCGTCTTTCCGTCCACGACGGACCCTCCTCGAAGTACTTCAGCCTCACAGGAATCATTGCGCACTTCCCCCGCACACACTCACACTCACTTTCCGCCCCACCCACCTACTGCCGAGAAAAAGAGAGAGAGAGAGAGAGAGAGAAGAAAGCAGAAGTGAAAAAAAAAATCCCTTACACCAATATGCACATGTTGTTGTTGTTGTTTTTTACACCATCCCCAATGCCGGGAGAGAGACCAATTCTCCTTTTAAGCCCCCAACTCCGGTTCAGTAAATAGCATCGCTGAACATTCAGGTGAAACCCTCCACCTCGTGCATGGGAAGTGACCGTTCAGACAGACAGACCGTGTTTTTCGTTAAAGAGACACATACCACAAAGTGTATATATAGGTCTGCATATATTTCTTTTTCCTCCGCCAGGCTAGCTGCAAAGATTTCTTCCTCTGACATCGGCAGGGGATCAACAACCACGACAACACAATTCCCTCGCAGTTACACAGTCGTAAAACGCAATTTTGTTGTTGTTGTTGTTGTTGTTGTTCCCATGCAGTCACCGACATCCTCTTCGTCTTGACGCAGTCAATCCCCCGCCCTGCTCCAAGCATAGAAAGACAGTGCGCATAAGTGTTTCACGCCTCCCTTCAGCCGTCTGGAATTTTCTTGAGTCTCCCTCTCTCTGTTTGTTCGGGCCTAAAAAAACACCCAAAGAACAAAGGGACGTAGAAACGAGGGCAAATAAAAAACAATGTCTTCATACAGCCACCAAAAAAAAAAAACACCCGCCAACACGCAAATTGCACATCTTTCCCTCATGTTACAAGCCAAGACATAACCTACATTAATGGGGTCTGGGAGAATACCGTCACGCGGCCTCCCCGCTCTGCAGACTCTCCCCCTGTTCCCCAAATCTCATTTATCCCTCTTACATAAACACTCCAATCATCGCAGCGATCGAGTTAAGACTCGTCAGCAGCAACGGGGGAAATTCTTCTTTCCCTGTGTCCTTCACTGTGCGTCCAGAAAAGCCCTCCTCGAAGGCATTGCGGTTTTTCGCGCAATGAACCTGCGCGGTGCTCCAGCTCCATCCGCTTCTGACGACGCGTCTCTAATGAAAGCATACATAGGCGACGCTGCGTAGCGCAAAACGTGATGAACGCACTGTTCCTTTCTAGCCACAAAGTGTGCACAGCATCCCGCACCTCGCTGCGTCGTCGATTCTCCGCGGTCTGTTCTTTCGCCACCAGATCCTTCGCACACGGTCTTTGAAAACACGCTTCGTGCGTTGCTTGTCCAGACATCAGCTGCAGATCTCTTCGCTCCCGCGCACGACGCTGCAGCTGCATCCGCTGCTCCTCGTGCATCCCACCGTGCACCGTCGAGCGGCTGGCTTCGCTCAAAGGCAATAAATAATGCTTATTTTTCTTGTGAGCAGAATGTGCAGCATCTGGCGATGGTGACATGACCACTTCCGGCACGGCGGCCACTGCAGGCCTGTACTGCCAACTGTTCGGTGCAATCTCAAAGGCATCAGGAAATGTCATCGTATCATACGGCCTTCCTTCGCAGAACTGCTCCACCAACACGAAGGGGGCCTTAGCGGTAAACACATCGCCTGGCGTCATGCCAACGCACGGCAATATAAAAAATAAAAAATAAAAATACACCGCTGTCAACTTAAAAAGAAAAAAAAAAGCAAGCAAAATAAAATAAAAGAGTCAAATATGCGCGCAGAGGGAAAAAAAAAAAAAAAAAGGGATCATACATACACACAGAGAGAGAGAAAGAAATAATAATAATAAACAATACATTTTATTTGACAAAAATCAAAACAAAGACTCTTCCTACCAATAAAAATAAATAAATAAATAAATAAAAAACAAAAAAGAAAAAAAGAAAAAAAAAGCAAGTCACACCTTCTGTTTTTAATTTACCGTATGTCAACACCTAAAAAAAAAAATTTTTTATAACATAAATAAAAATTGTTGACAAGAAAAAAAAAAAAAAACATATATTCTACTCCTTGTCGTCCAGCACGGCAACGCCAGGAAGAGTCTTGCCTTCCAGCAGCTCCAGCGACGCGCCACCACCCGTCGACACGTGGGACATGCGCGGCGCCTCGCCACTCAGCTCCGCTGCGCTCGCACTGTCGCCGCCACCGATGATGCTCATCAACCCATGGTTCTGCGTGCTGTCGCCCATCACCTTCGCGATCGCAAACGTGCCCTTCGAGTACGGCGCCATCTCAAACACACCCATCGGACCGTTCCAGATCGCACTCTTGCACTTCGCCACAACCTCAACGTACTTCTCAATCGTCCTCGGGCCGATGTCCAGCGCCATGTAGCCGTCAGGGATGTCCACGCCCTCCGTCACCAACGGTGCCTCCACAGCCTTGAATTCGGTGTGGCACACGTGGTCCACGGGCAGCAGCACAGTCACCTTGCGGTCCTCGGCCTTTTTCAGCAGCGAGCGTGCGAGGTCCAGCTTGTCCTCCTCGCACATCGAGCTCCCAATCTTGTGGCCCTGCGCCTTCAGAAACGTGTACGCCATCGCGCCACCGATGATCAGGTGGTCAATGCGCTGCAGCATGTTGTCCAGCAGCTGGATCTTGTCGCTCACTTTCGCGCCGCCCACAATCGCCACCAGCGGCCGCGCTGGGCTGCCCAGCACCTTCGCGAAGTACGAGATCTCCTTCTCCATCAAGTAGCCGGCGGCACCGTGGCCAAGCACCTTTGGAATGCCCGTCATCGTCGCACTCTCGCGGTGGGCTGTGCCAAAGGCGTCACTGATGTACACGTCGCCGTACGACGCCAGCACGCGTGCCATTGCGTCACGCTCCTCCTCCTTCTTACTTCCCTCCTCCACGTAGAAGCGCACGTTCTCGAGCAGCACAACGCCTCCAGGAGACAGCTTTTCGACCGTAGATGCCGCCTTCAGGCAGTCCGGCGCAAACACCACAGGGACATTGAGAAGCTCGCCGAGGCGTTCTGCCACAGGCTTCAACGTCGCTCCAGCTTCGTACCCGGGCACACTGTCGTCGCCGCAAGCAGCGGCAGCAGCCATCGTCACCCCCTTTGGCCGGCCAAGGTGGCTCATAAGCACGCAACTCCCGCCAGACTCCAGGACCTTCTTGATCGTCGGAAGCGCGGAGCGGATGCGGTAGTCGTTCGTGATCTTCCCATCTTTCACTGGGACGTTGAAGTCCACGCGGATAAGGACTCTCTTGCCCTTCACGTCAACCTGATCGATGCCCTTCTTCTCCTTCAGTGCCATCCGTTCGATGTTCTTTGTGTAATTTTTAATGCCTTACGCCTGAAAAATATCAGAAACTTCCTATTTTTTTTTTCTTTTTTTGTTTCTGTTTTTTGTATTTGAAAGAAAATATGTTCACTGTTTGTTATAGCTTTTGGCTTTTGTTATCTGCCGTGGCGTCAAGAAGCAGACACGCATAGAAAGCGCAAAAGAAAAAAAAGCATGAATAAGTGGCAAACGCTAACACAAACCGCAATGGAATATAACACGTCACGTCGCAAACAAAAAAAAAAAAAAAAAAAGAATTACACATAAAAAAGAAAAAAAAAAAGAGTAAACTTTAAAAAAGAGGGCGAAGAGAATGTACAACGCATTGTGCGCCGTCACCAACGAAAATAACGTTGCTTTTTTCTTTCTTTTTTTCTAATCCACACAACACACAGGTCGCGTTACTCCTTGTCGTCCAGCACGGCAACGCCAGGAAGAGTCTTGCCTTCCAGCAGCTCCAGCGACGCGCCACCACCCGTCGACACGTGGGACATGCGCGGCGCCTCGCCACTCAGCTCCGCTGCGCTCGCACTGTCGCCGCCACCGATGATGCTCATCAACCCATGGTTCTGCGTGCTGTCGCCCATCACCTTCGCGATCGCAAACGTGCCCTTCGAGTACGGCGCCATCTCAAACACACCCATCGGACCGTTCCAGATCGCACTCTTGCACTTCGCCACAACCTCAACGTACTTCTCAATCGTCCTCGGGCCGATGTCCAGCGCCATGTAGCCGTCAGGGATGTCCACGCCCTCCGTCACCAACGGTGCCTCCACAGCCTTGAATTCGGTGTGGCACACGTGGTCCACGGGCAGCAGCACAGTCACCTTGCGGTCCTCGGCCTTTTTCAGCAGCGAGCGTGCGAGGTCCAGCTTGTCCTCCTCGCACATCGAGCTCCCAATCTTGTGGCCCTGCGCCTTCAGAAACGTGTACGCCATCGCGCCACCAATGATCAGGTGGTCAATGCGCTGCAGCATGTTGTCCAGCAGCTGGATCTTGTCGCTCACTTTAGCGCCGCCCACAATCGCCACCAGCGGCCGCGCTGGGCTGCCCAGCACCTTCGCGAAGTACGAGATCTCCTTCTCCATCAAGTAGCCGGCGGCACCGTGGCCAAGCACCTTTGGAATGCCCGTCATCGTCGCACTCTCGCGGTGGGCTGTGCCAAAGGCGTCACTGATGTACACGTCGCCGTACGACGCCAGCACGCGTGCCATTGCGTCACGCTCCTCCTCCTTCTTGCTTCCCTCCTCCACGTAGAAGCGCACGTTCTCGAGCAGCATAACCTCACCTCTCCTGAGAAGACTTATTTCCATCTTGGCATCCATACAATCGTGAGCAAAGTAAACGTGTTGATTAAGCAACTCAGCAAGTCGCACGGCAATTGGTCGTAGAGTAAGTTTTTCTTCATATCCTGAACTGAGGCTGAGCTGCGGAAAGATTTGTTCTTTATTTTCAGAAATGTACCGCACTAGCAACGTTTGCTTCTCCTCTTCCGGCAACCGTGAAAAGACAGCAGTCTTGCCAGACCCCTCGCTGAGTGAAAGTCTGGAAGCCTCATCCTTTGCACTGGAGAGTGCCAAAATCTTTGCCTTCTCCTCACCCGAAAGTACGGCAAAAAAGGCGGTCTTCCCTCTGCTGTCGTTAAACAGCCCTCCATGGTACCTCTTTTGAATGTCTTTCTTCGCAGAGGTGTATGACACGCCTTTGGGGCGGCCAAGGTGACTCATCAAGATACATATGCCCCCTTGATCAATCACACGACGGATTGTGGGGATGGCGGCGCGGATGCGATAATCGTTCGTGATGATCCCATTATGAATAGGGACGTTGAAGTCCACGCGGATGAGCACACGCTTGGCCGTGAGCGGCCAGACGTCGTCAACGGTCTTTTTAAGAATTAAAGTGCTTTGCATTAAAGCGACTCCTTTACTCCTTTTCGCTTCTATTTCTTCTGCTGCTGTTATTGTTAAAAAGGCAAAATAAAATAAAATAAATAAATAAATAAATAAATAATAGAAAGAAGTTGTTCCCAAAGTCCCCACGACTCGAGTTGAAAGTATTGCCGGTCGGCAAGCGAAAATAATAATAATAATAATAAGTGATCCAAAACGCCCATGAGGCCAAAAAAAAAAAAAAAGAGGGAATGACAACACACCGAGAAACGCCATCCGGAAGGGTATTCAACGCCTCCCCACACACACACGCACACACAGCGCAATATGCAACGGCATAAACTTCGGCCAACACGCATGATCCTCAGCCGCAGAAGGCAAAACAAATAAATAAACAGTTTGATTCCTTGCAAGCCATCGATTCCCTCGTTTTTTTTTTTTTTTCACTTTCATTTCCTGCGCATTCGTGCTCTCTCCCATTGTCGCTGTCACTTCCTTCCGCTTTTTTCCCCCCCATCGGGCAAATTCACTTTGCAGATAAAAATATGTAATAAAAAAAAAAAGATGTGCGCGACAGGATCTGAGGTGCGTGTCTCACTGCGGTGCCGAACTCAAACTCGCCGTGATGCGTTGCTCCAACTCCTGCAGCGCTGTCCAAACCGACGCGGGCACTGTCTCTCCCATCTCCTGCAGCATCTGCCCCTGTCGTACAAGCAAGACAAAAATTGTCTCCTGCAGCATGCGTCCCTCCTCCTTCCCAAGCACCGTGTCAGAAGATGTCATGCGATTCTCTAGCGAGGCCACACCCAATTGCAGCATCCGCACCGCATCCATCGAAGCAGGAAGATATGGGGCGTAACAGCCAAGAATGAGAGATGCCTCGGCTGACTGTTTCCCTTTCACCGCACATGCCAAGTCAAACGCGTACCGCAACACATCACCGGCCCGCGCGTCACGAAGAAAATGCAGCAGACGACCACACTCTCTGCCTATTCGCACAGCCTCTGCATCTCTTCTCTCTGCATTCTGGTTTGCCCGCACAACTCGAAGCCAAAGTTCCGCAGCCGTCAGCAAATCTTTGCCCTCATTAAAGGCAAGAAGAGTCGCACTACGATCAAGACAAACAAGAAGATCATTATTGAGCGGTATCTGACGGGCATCGCTGACTTCGCAAATGGCACGGGTGTGACGCGCCAACTCATGTGCCACGCTGCTGCCGGCCCCACGCCAGCGACGAGGCCAGAGTGAAAGCAGCACTTTTGTGCACTCCGCCACATGTGTGCTATCCGCCTTGGTTCGGAGTATCTGTGCAACCGAAGGGTGCATCGTCAGCGAGCCCTCATCCCACCGCTGATCGCATAGGCCTAACCCAGCAGCTTGCATAACAAAAGCTTCCCCCGATTCATCACCAACTAAACGATCCACAACAGCATAAGAAACACCGCTAATATCAAATAACGCAGTCATCACCAGTACACGGATGCCTCCTGGCTTATGCGTCTCAAGCCCCGCAAGCGCAATCTCCACTAGAACGCCAATGGCGTAGGAAACACTCAGGGTTCCATTTCCATCGATGCCCTTTGCGAGTAGCTCTCTCTTTAGTTCCTCTGGGCTGGTAGAACCGTTCTCCATTAGACACAATGCAACATGCATAAGAAGCGGAACATATCCAAGAGCAAAAAGCACATCAGCTACAGTTTTCGATTCTTCGAACTCCGTTAAATGTGAAAATTGCGCCACGCCATCGGGAGACAGGGGTTGGACATCTATTGTGCCCACCTTCGTTGAGCTTTCAATAGGAACGCTCGTGGTGAGCAGTGTGTAAACGTTTGTGTGCTTAGGAATGTGACGGAGTGCCTCATGCGGGTCATCGACACTGTCAATAACCAAAAGCACGTCCTTTTCCTTGCGACCCCGCATGGAATGAAAAAATTGAAGTAATTCTGAAGGCAATGAGCCCCCTCTGGCATCAAACCACTGAATGCATGTGAAGCGCTCACTTCGCCGCGCCCGATCACAGAACTCTGCCGCTATGGAAGACTTGCCGATACCGTCTGGCCCAGTAATGGCCTGGATGTGGCGCCCGGACAGCAAATTTTGCCAGAGTGACAGCAGCTCCGCATCACGGCCAACAGTGCGAGACATAACAGGAACGTTAAAGAGAATGGGATGTGCCGATGCCGACTCCAGCTCCGGATTCGACGCATTGGCGCCAGAAGTGAGCATCCTGCGCTGACCGAGAAGCCGTACGCATCGGTGTCCAGACAAACGCCACATGATTCTCCGTCTCCTTTTAGTCCGTGTTCTTCTCGTACTTTACCCCACCCTGGCAATTCAGCGCATGGAACAATTGCATGAAGCGAAAACGAGGAAAACAAAAAAAGAGGGAGTGGGCATGTGGGCAAAAAAAGCAACAAAATAATAATAAACATGAATGAATAATAAAAAAAAACATGACGATCACAGCAGCAAAAGACAAGGAATCTCCCACTCTTCCTCTATCACTCTGCATGTTAAAAAGTATAAATTTAAAATAAAAAAAAACGATACAAAAAAAAAATAAATAATTCAAAAGAAGACACAAAAGAAAAAAGAAAATAAAATCAACAAGGCGGTAGCATCCATCCATTCATCTATTTTATGTTCGTCCCTTTCCCCAACTGTAACACATCTCCGCATGTTCATGTGTTACCACGGCTGACGTTGTGGCTGCAACAACAACAACAACAACATGAACGCCTCAACAAAGGTGTTGGAAGAGTCACGACGTCCATTTAGCACCCTTGGCGTGGGCGCTCAGGCCAGTAATCATGTTGCTCCAGTCCGCTGTCAACTTGTGAAGCTCATCCAACTCTCTTTCCCAGCGTTCGTACGGGCGCTTCTCGAAGTGACGTCTTTCGTCCCCATTCATCTTCGGCTGCTGCTGCTGCTGCTGCTGCTGCTGCTGCTGCAACCGATGCTTGACGGCTACCCGGCAGGGCATCGTCATTTCCGAATCACAATCGTTGCGTGAGAGAGCGGGTGGCATTTCGCCCCTCCACGCCGTCTGCACGCCTCTACTGACGTCGGCCCTATAAGAGCACGGAATGTTGCGGGTAATGGGAGAAAGTGGCATTGGAAACGGCAGCGGTGTGTTGGTAAACACCGTCTCTGCTTCCCTCCACGTGAACGAGTGCATGTTCAGAAGAAATACACTCGACACCCGTGCCAAGTTTGAACGCATTCCGCCGACAAGAATCAAATGCTCGCCAACCACCACAGCAGCGCACCCAGAAAGAGGCAGAGGGGCAGAAAATAATGATGATGATGATGATGATGATGGTGTTGTGTTCACGTGTGTCGTAACCGCCTCCCACGAACCTCCTTGTACATAAAGACGATGCAAATCGTTAAAGAAACGACTGGCGACTGAGCCGGCACCACCAAAAATGTACACATAGCAGCCCCACCGCCATGCACAGTGCGCTGTTCGGGGCAACGGGGTACAGTCGTTCTCCATCACGGGCTGCACAAAACCTGTTTCAGTGCTAATTAAAAACGTGTCATGCGATTCTCGATTTTTTACGCGCGATACACCACCAAAGAAACAAAGCAATGAGCCGCCCAATGGGGTCAGTGTCGACCCCCAATAATACAGCGGAAGGTTGAGTTTGATCATTGTCCAGCAAAAACTTGTCAAGTCAAGGCGGTACAAGCAGCCAAAGTCAACCGTCGGCTGCGTCTGTGGGGAATAAATATTGTATCCTCCAATCATGTACATGGAATTTCCTTGCACCGCGGCAGCGTGATGCGAGCGGTTGCATGGCACATCGCCGGTGCATTCTACCGATTCCCAGCGAGGCGGTGAAATCGACATGTCTAAAATATAAAGCACCCCGTTAGGCTCAAAATTTTGTGGCATCACGGGCCGCAGCCAAGAAGTGTCTCGAAAACGATCGGTTCCCATCTGCTGCAGCGTCTCACTATCAAGTCCGTCAGCCAACGTAAAGACATTATACGTGTTGTAGTGGACATCGTTCACCCCGACACTTGTGATGCCGCCAAAGACAACAAGCCGTGAGCCGTGTAAGCACGCCGAGTGGTACGCCCGCGGCAATGGGACCGCACCGTCACACACAAGTCGTCGCCATTCAAATGTTGAAAGAGCGAGACTGAACACGGATGCATTAAGGTAAAAGGCAGCTGTTTTCCCACCAACCACCACAATAGATTCGCCACACATTGTGGCCGTATGGCCTTCAAGGCCAAACTCCATGGATGGAAGCTGTAGCCCAAGTCAAAATAGACAGAAAGAGAAGGAAAACATATTGATTCATATATTTTTGTATGTGAAAGGCACCAGAAAAAAAAAAAAAAAAAGGAGCTTAATTCAAGACACAAGCAAGCGGTCAAGAGCAACCGCAAAAAAGAAAAAGAAAAGAAAAAAAAAGGCTCAATAAGAAAACAACACCAGATTCTTCAGTCGCCTCTTCAAAAAAAGCGTCTAAAACAGAAGATATTCAATCATCCCTTTGGAGTGTACGCCTTCCACGGCGAGTTGCCATCGATGATGCGTCTACTGGCGTTGCCGTCAGTTTCGCGGCTAAATGTTTTCATGAACCGTTCGAACTGCTCATCCACACGCTCCGCCGCCAGCTGCTGTGCTCCCTCCTGCCTGGCGTACTGCATTCTAGCCGTGTTTTCGTTTATCGGTATCGTGGCATCATTCAACGCCTTTTCGCACATGCAATTCACATCAGCATGGCTCGCCTCCATGCTGTCACGTGTGTTCCGCATATCCTCCACGTTTTTTCGCGATGCTCGCTCAAGTGATTCCCTTTCCTGTTGAATGCTTCCTTCGTAGCCAAGACTCATCTTGGACGGATAACGCCCCGTCTCCTGTCGGACTCTCTCCGCATCCTTCACGTAACTTTGGTTCATCTCCCTGTGAAGCGTGTCTGCCTCCTTCAGCTTGGCGGCACCGTAGCTGTTTATCGCCACCGCAACGTCGCCACCATCTTCACTGAAGACTTTGGCCTGGACCTCGTAATTGTCCTTCCAATCCACAGGAGCACCGTACTCGTCGGTGCAGGTCCCACGCACCAAAGCCCCATTCTCCCATATGCCTGCAAAAATGAGACGCGGCTCGTTTGCCAGGTATGTCTGGGACCCCTCTCCGTGGGCACGGCCGTGTTCGTTAAACTCGCCGTCGTACGTATACGTCGGAGTAAAAAGCTGACCGCGTTGAATGCACCCGTCCACAAAATCGCCCACGTACACAAACCCACCATCAAGCTTCATCTTGCAACCAATTCCATGCAATTTGCCGGCAAAAAACGTGCCCTCCTGCTCCGCTCCCGTGGCAAAGCGAAGCCTTCCGCGACCGTGTGGTTTGTTGTCAAGAAACTCGCCCTCGTACGTGAAGTCATGCTGCGTAAGTGTTCCACGAACAAACGCCTCGTCCCGCAGTAATCCCTCAAAGACCGTCTCCGTTGTCCCATTGGGTATGCGCACGACGCCCTCCACCAACTCGTCCTCACAGAACCGCCCCTTATAATACGTGCCGTCGGCCAGCCAGGCCTCGCCATCACCGTGCCGCTGCCATTGGGCATTGAAGGAGCCGCGGTAGAGATCCCCGTCGTCCTCCAGCTCACTGCCGCCCAGCGGAAATCCCCGCTCGGCGTCAAAGTGGCCGCGAAAGACACGGCCGTCAGGTGTTGTGGCGCATCCTTCAAGAAGAAAATCGGGATGCTTTGGGTTAAAAGTGCCGTCCAGCAGCAACCCGCTCGGAAGCCGCCGCGTGCAGAATCGCACGGCACGTCTTGTGAACATCACCGCGTCCTTTTCCCCTTTTTGTTCTTTTTGTTGTTTTTAACCCCCCTTCACTAATTCCCTCTTGGACTCACTCTACGCAGGCTTTAAACACAGAGACAAATATATATATACATGTAAAGAAAAAAAAAAAAAAAGGAAAATGCAAAAGAAGGCCCCTCGCAACGC